CCACCGGGATGCCCCTGAGGTGGCTCCCCCCTTTGCCAGAGTCCTTCTCCAGCAGGGCTGCGCCCACATGCCCCTCTTCGTCTGAGGGCTGCCTGGCTTGGTGTGGCCAGGGGGGGCATGCCTGTGCATACCTTCTGCACCCGCAAGGGGATCCTTTGCACCCCGGTCGGCTCAGCAGGGGAGTCCCACCAGGCACCACCCTGGGCGGGCTGGGGAAGGAAAGGGAGCGAGCGAAGGCATGCCCCCCCACTGGGGGGGGTTAGCCAGCCAGGCAGCAGGGAGCCAGAGAGTCAGGGTGCCTTGGTGCTAGACAGGGTGGGCAGGCTGCAGCAGCCACAGTGGGAAGGAGGAAGGAAGGCCGACCGGTGGTGTTTCTGCTTCGGCGGGGAGGGGCGGCGGTGGCAGCGGCGGGAGGAAGGTGGCCGGTGGCTTAGCCAGGTAGAGGGCAGTGGGACAGGGCAGCAGCTTTTGGCAGGAGGGAAGATTGGTGCCCCATCCAGGGCCCGGTGCTCTAGGCGAATGCCTAGTTCACCTAGCGGGTGAGCCGGCCCTGCAGCTACCCACCTGAAACTATTGTCATTTAGCCAGTTTTTAATCTATAACAGAACCCATCCTCTTATCCCATGACTGCTAAGTATACTCAGGAAACTTTTGCGAGGTACTTTGTCAAATGCCTTTTGAAAGTCCAGGTATATAATGTCTACCGGGGCACCATTGTCTACATGTTTGTTCTCTTTCTCAAAGAACTCCAAAAGGCTGGTGAGGCAGAACTCTTTGCAAAAGCCATGCTGATTTTCCCTCAGCAGGCTTTGTCTCTCTATGTGCCTAACCATTCTATCTTTGATTACATGGATGGCTAACACTCTAACCACTACTCTACACTGGCTCTCTAACATGACACTGTGTGGAATATGTTACTCCATAACAAACAAGCAGACAAAAAATGCAAACAGTTATTAAATATTGGACGTAGTCTAGAGTAACTAGAAACTACTGGATATTGCCAAAGGTTAAGTTTCAGTTATATTCAGGGGTTTTTTTTCTTGACAGTTACCTTTTAAATTAAATTAAATTCTTTTTGTGATCATACATACAGAAAACTGCATTTTAGGTAAAAGCATTATCCTATTGGAAAAGGCAAATTACCATCAATGTGAAGAAAACATTTTTACATTTTATTTATCTGGAAATAAGCAAACGGGGAGTGGCATGTAATCGAATGCATTCATTTGTTTATGCACTCATTACAGAGAGTTAACTTCACCACTCCACTGTAGCTGAAAGCAAGGCTGGCACCACAACAGAAGCAGCATGCAATGCAAACCGAAATGACCCATTTACAGGGTGGTTGATAAGTCATCCTAGTTGAGAAAAGAGGCTGGAATGAGAATTAGATGCTAGGTCAACAATCAGAAGTTTAGCATATAGCATATTCTCTCCTTTAAATTTGAGAGTTATTTCAGCAAAGCTAAAAGTCAGTCAGAATCACAAACAGCAGACGGGGGGCGGGAGGGGGAAGTGAAGCAGAAGACAACAGAGATGTTTAATCAAGTCAGATATCCCTTAAGGGTGAAAGAAGAAAATGGAAAGGAAAAGAGAGAGAGAGTTCCAGCATCATCACCGCTGTACAGAGAGAATCTGCTCTAATTAGAGGTCAGTTCAGAAACAAAGACAACATTTTACAGCGAACAGGATTCTGCTCAAACCTGACTTACTGCAAACCGATATGTGTGGGTATTGTGTGGTGAAGGAAAAGCACTCTGAACATATGTTTGCAGTTCTGGCAGTTTCAAGACATGGGTTATTACTGGCTCAAATTTATTTAGATCCTCCCAAAGACTTTGTTTTTCTGTATTGTTAGGTGGTGGGGCTGAAGTAGGGTTGCCGACCTCCAGGTGGTGGCTGGAGATCTCTTGGGATTACAACTGATCTCCAGGCAACAGAGATCAGTTCACCTGGAGAAAATGGCTGCTTTGGAAGGTGGTCTCTATGGCATTAGACCCCATTGAAGTCCCTCCCTTCCCCTCCTCAACAACACAACAACCTCAGATATGCAGACGATACCACTCTAATGGCAGAAAGTGAAGAGGACCTAAAGAGCTTCTTGCTCAGAGTGAAAGAGGACAGCGCAAAAGTGGGCTTGAAGCTCAACATTATAAAAACTAAGATCATGGCATCCGGCCCCATCACGCTTTGGCAAATAGAAGGGGAAGTCATGGAAGTAGTGACAGACTTCACGTTCCTGGGATCCCAGATCACTGCAGACTGTGACAGCAGCCTTGGGAGGAAAGCGATGGTTAACCTAAACAGCATGATAAAAAAGTAGAGACATAACCCTGCCAACAAAAGTCCGCATGGTCAAAGCAATGGTATTCCCAGTAGTCATGTATGGCTGCGAGAGTTGGACTATAAGGAAGGCCGAGCACCGAAGAATAGATTCTTTTGAACTATGGTGCTGGAGAAGACTCTTGAGAGCCCCTTGGACTGCAAGAAGATCAAATCAGTCAGTCCTAAAAGAAATCAACCCTGACTGTTCCCTGGAAGGCCAGATAATGAAACTGAAGCTCAAATACTTTGGCCACCAAATGAGAAGGGAGCACTCACTGGAGAAGACCCTAATGCTGGGAAAGATTGAAGGTCAAAGAAGACGGGGATGGCAAAGGTTGAGATGGTTAGACAGTGTCATAGATGCAATGAACATGAAACTGAGCAAACTTCAGAGGACGGCGGAAGACAGGAAGGCCTGGCGTGATGTGGTCCATGGGGTCGCGAAGAGTCGGACTCGACTGTGCGACTGAACAACAACAAAAAATGGGCATTTTCCCCATTTGGCCTTCTATAGCTAGGGGCCTGGCTAGAGGAGGAGGAAGGTGGAAGGAGTGAGGACAGCATGTGAGGATGGCAAAATAAAATGTGTTAATGCCAATAAAGCTCACTCTGTCAAAGTGTCTGAATTCATCCAGTATTGGGCAAGATCGACCAACAGTCTAAGTCAGCATAAAGTAGCTTCATATGTTCACAATAAGGCTCAATAACTGTTCTGATGCTGTAGTATGAAGAATCTTGGAGGAACCGTGGGATACAAATGTAAGTAAATCAATCAGAATAACTGGCAAGTGTTCATCTAATAGTTTGCTCAAACCCCAAATGCACATAAAGCAATATTTCATCACATCACCTCTTTTATGTAGTCCACTGTCATTCCCATTGTACAGATGAGAAACTGAGGCTGAACAAGTCTTTCTCAGGGTCCAAAGTGGAATTTAAAGCCAGGCGTCCCAAAAGCAAGTTCTGTTATTGGTCCGTTCCACACAGTGATGGAAGCAAGGCCTGAACTGACACTCAGCCCAGTCCTAAGACTTCTACCTTTTTAAATCAGTTGAAGTCAGTGCACTTAGAAGGGTGTGGCTCTGCTTAGGATAGCACTAACTAGTGCTATTGAAACCACTGAACTGCCCTCTGATTATAATAGAGTTATTATATAGATTTATTATAATGAACCATTTGCATAGCTTATGAGGGGTACTTTCTTTGTTGGGTTTACCAGAAGAAGAATGGCACCCCACCCAATCATTTTGAAGGAGCTGATAGTGGAGTAATGTAAATCATACTTAATCCATGCAGGATATGTTTAAAGTTTGCTGCCAGTATGTCTAACTGATGTGGAAACTCAAGAAGCCTCAAAAGCAATCATAAGTTCAAAGGTTTTGACAAAATGTATCCAAACGTTCTTCTTGATCTGCAATCTGCCGACAGCACAGAAGCCCCCTTTCTTTAAAGCCGGAACTCTCAGGGGCACTTTCTCATGTCTTTTCATAATTCTTTTTTTCCCCCCCCTGGGTAAAGAAACCTTAGCAAAAACCCGAACACTGATACATTATGCAACATGCTGTTATTCCCCTGGTTGTGAAAGTCTTTTCCTTTGCCTCGCCAAAGCTGCTTTTATTTTTTTTCCTAGGCAGCTTCGCTAGTTTTGAAGTGTGCCAGAACACACAGATGATGAGCAAGCAGATACAAATATAAGTCAAAGACCACTAAATATCATTATGTTATCGTGAGGCCGAGGTGTGCTCTGCAATCCTAACAGGAAACGCCATGAATGCCAGGAGATGCTAAGATGCTGGAATTAATTTTCAGAAACAAGCTGTGTTCTTCTCTCCCTCCTAATAAATCAAGTCAATATCCTGTGATTAAACTTTGAAAAAGAGAGATGGTGAGGATGAAGAGTGTTTAGCAGCTATGCTCTTTGACCTGGAAGCAGTGAGCTGTCATAATGCCAGATGTGTATGGGCTGCCTGAGGTTACTCAGTTGTGAAGGAAAGGCTATATTCTGCTTGTTGTTATTACTTCAAAAATACTGAGCTTTGCCATTCCATACACATTCTGGATCTAAGTCCTGGTAAGGCCAAACTCAGTTTAAGTTCTGTCATCAGTTCCAGCTAATTCTGCTGGGCACAGATAATACCGCCACTCATGTAACCACTATCTTGGTATCAGCTAAAAATACAAGGACTCATCAAAAGTGCTTAAAGGTTACCCATGGAAATCTTCGAGCATCAATGCTTTTCATACTGATGCATTTGTGAATCAAGCATGCAAATATATTCTCACCACCATCTCTTTCTCTCACTGTCTTTCATTTGGTTTCATCCAACATATAATTAGTCAGCCAGGAGATGGATGTAGCATGAAAAACATTGCAGACAATATGTATGCTACTGGCACGCTAAACACTTGTTTCAGCATTTATAATGTAAAATGTATTATTAGTCCTTTTGAGTAAATAAGAAACTGATTTCACTCATTTGCAATAATCTATTGACTCTGTTTAAAAATAGGACAACGATTTGCATAATAAATTTCCTATGCCAAACTGTTAATTGCCAAAAACACAGAGAGTGAGACAAGGGAATGTAAGCCTTGACACATATAGAAGACTAGGGCTATATTTGGATTGAGGGACAGTGATTGGATTATGAGACAGCATTTCTGAACCTTACTTTTCCATCCCCACACTTTGTTCCAGCCAGGACAAGACCAGGGTCAGGCATATCATCTCCCAGGTAGACGTGGGTTCCGCGGCACAGAATTTTACCTCCTCCTTGTAATGGGATGTTTGTTTCTATGGAGACAGCATTGGTACCAATTACAGGTCGATTTGCTCCCCCTTGACACTGAATTTTTCCACATTTCGCGTCTCTAAAGGGGGAGAAATATTTTAAATAATGTTATGGCAGCTAGAAGCTTCTTTTCCTATCTTCATCTATTCCCCCCCCACCCCCCCGGGCAGAAACAGAACATCTACCTCGCTTCACACTTGGCAAAAGAACTTTTGGAATCCTTGCCGCAGTTTCCATAAGGATCCCCTGCGGAATTGACTCTTTCAAAGCATATCCCAGGGGCAGGCTTAGCACCTAAAACAGAAACAAAAGCACATTCAGTCATACAAAAAAGATAGTGATTTTTTTTAAAAGGTAGCCCTGTTAGTCTCTCGTAGCAAATAAAACAGAGATCAAGATGCACCTTTAAGGCTAACAAAGTTTGTTTCAGTCAGACCTTTTAAGAATTGGACCTTCAGGAGAATTTTCAAAAGAACCTGAAGAGGGGAAGTGTGAGTAATTATTGTTGGGAGAGCTGGTATATCAATCCAGATCCCTTGCTAAGTTGTAGAGTGTACTAAGGCTCAGAACGCAGCACAGCTCCTTTGTTCACTGTATGCTTGTAAGACTACAAAGTTACACAGAGCCACTTATCAGTTTAAAAGAAAATAAGAACTGATTTATTTAGGAAATACATACTGGATAGTGCAGCATAGAGACAGGGACAGATTCTATTCTGTCTAGCTAGTGATGGATGCAGATGCAGAGAGGTTCTCTGCATCCATGATGCCAAAGATGTAGATACGTGTCCTCCTTCTTCGTATGCATGTGGGAAGAAAGGAAATGGACGGAAATTGTTTCCCTACGAGTAGCTTCAAAGGGTTCAGTGACAGAAGAGTAAACAGGAAGATGCTTAGTATCCTCCTATCTGTAACTCTCTGGTCACTTGCTTCTTGGAGGCTGAGGCACAGGGACATTGCATCTGGCTCTTCCAACAATTATGCTGGAGTAAACTTGGTTAGTCCTAAAAATGCCCCTTGATTTCTTTTACTTTAGGTTAAAAAAGGATAAGGAGTCTAGGGAGGTCACCCCAACAGCAGAAAGGACTTAGGAAAGAAAGGCAGTTTTGTTGAAGCTGCACTGGGCTTCAGAATTATGAAGGGGATCAGGAAATGGTGAGTGGGTGCTGCACACATAACAACCACAGGTAACGGCAACTTCCTTCAAACAGCTGTCTTGTTCCATTGCAAAATCCTTATCCCATTGGCTCTAATTTCTGGCACCACCAGCCCAATTTCAACACTACTCATCACTGCAACCCAATGTGCTGGATATACAAGCAGAACTCTATGTCTGAAAAGGCCCAGAGATGCCTATGTAGTCCCTATAGGATTGCTAGGTCCACAGGTAATGGCTCTTGTACCTGAAGATGCCTAAAAGGGAAAATACCACTAGGTATGGTATCATGTCAGCACTATGTCAGAAAAGACGCACCTGGCAAAATTATACCTTTTATAGACCCCGGTCACACGAGAGGTTTTGGGCCGGGAGAGGGACGGATCGGGGCTGCAGGAAACGGGCGTGATCCCACCGCAACATCTGGGAAGCGTTGCGCGCCCATTCCCAATCCATCCCTTCCACCCAAAACCCCGCAGCAAAAATGAACCACCTACCATGGTGGTTCGTCCAGGAAGGCCGCATCGAAGCCGGTCGTGGGATCGCCAGCGCGTCCTTGCGCCGGCGCATCCCCGGCGCCTGGCCGAACTGCGCATGCTCACACATGTGCAGTTCGGCAGGCTCCCCCTCCCGACGGTAGCTTCCTCCCCAGCATCTGATCATGCCGGGGAGCAATGGCGCCGTGGATCAGGGGATCCATGGGATCCCGCCGTGGCGTCTCTACTTTGGTGCGGCTCTGATTTGCCGCACTTTGGCTGATGTTTTTCCTGCCGTGTGGCAGGGACCATAGAATACCTAAAGCCAAATCAAATGAGCAAGGGCTTCTAAAGCTGCTACCCTGAAAATCAGTAAGATTGGCAGATGCCCATTCACACACATTTTCTGTGCTTTTCCTCACCTTCTCGGGAAAGGCCCCCAAGACTTCAAGGAAGTCACTTCTAACATTGTAGTCTATTATGGGCAGAGCTCTTTTTGTAGAAGAAGCCCAGCAGGAACTCATTAGCATAATAGGCCACACCCAACAGCAGAAATTCATTAGCATATTAGGCCACACCCCTGACAGCACAGCTCATTACCGTATTAGGCCAATGTTCTCTCTGGTCTGCACACAGCAAAAGGAAATTTTAAAAGGACTCTGATCTGAATGTCCCCCCATCTTGTTCATGCAGATCTGCTTACCATTTAAAAACAGACACGTGTGAGGTAGGTGGGGCTGAGAGAGCTCTTTCGAGGACTGCTCTTGAGAGTACAGCTCTGAAAGAACTTGTGATTGACCCAAGGTCACACCACCAGCTGCAAGTAGAGAAATGGGGACTCAAACCCTGTTCTTCCAGATTAGAGTCCATGCTCCTAACCACTACACCAAACTGTAACTCAAAATCTTTAGAAGCAAGTATAAGAAACATAGGACACCCGTTCCACCACATCAGAGCCTTTAAGCAGATCATTTCCAAAACAGTCCTTCAAAGCCTAATTACATGAACTAAGCAGCAAGCAAGATACACTGTTTTGAAAAGTATTTCCCTCATAAATACTCAGAGATCCTGTGGTCTCCCCAGCAGTGATATTCACAAGCAATGGGCAACCCAGAAGACTAAAGATGCATCAGAGTCCTAAACATGATGCTTAAGCAATGGGAAGGGGGGAGAGAATGAGAAGGCACTTATGTAAACCAAAAACACTGGGACACACTCCAGCACAGAGGAGGAAGAGCTTGTACCTGAATAAAACTTGGTCTTAAAGGTGACACTGGACATTTTTGAATTGTTAGCTATGGAGGGGGGAACACAGAGATCTGCACAAAAAAAGAAAATCAGAAAGAAGGAAAGAAAAAAAGAAAAAAAGAAAGAAAGAAGGAAGGAAAGAGGGAAAGAAAGAGAGAAGGAAAGAAGGAAAGAGAGAAGGAAAGAGAAAGAAAGAAGGAAAGAGGGAGGAAAAGAGAAAGAAAGAAAGAGAGAGAAGGAAAGAAGGAGGAAAAGAGAGAAAGAGAGAAAGAAAGGTGGGAAAGAAAGAGGGTAAAGAGATGGGGGAGGCTCTCCCGCCCCCATCAAGGGCTTGCCACTCCCCACGGATTCCTCACTCACCCCGATCAAGCTCTTCAGGCGCAGGCCCGGGCCCCAGCGCCTTGGTGAGAGCCAGGTAGGGTGGGCAGGCTCTGAAACTTACCTCCCTGCCTGTTGCTCCTGGTGGCCCAATTGAGGGCTGCTGAGAGCAGGAGGCGGGGCTTGCTGCATGTGCCCACCCCCATGGGCTCAGAAGGCAACCAGAATGCCATTCTGGTGCATTCTGGCCCAAAAATAGCCCTGATCATGGGGTTTTTTTGTATCACTCTACTTTTTTACTGTAATATTCTCTATCTTTGTAATTGCCTGTCTTCATTATTGTGTAGATTCAGGTGGGTAGCTGTGTTGGTCAGAAGCAACAGAACAAAGCTTCCAGTTTTGGCTCCCAGAATGGCAGCCATGATCTCTCGGAGCTCCGGGAGACGTGGGCCGTAAATCAGCGGATGGGAGGGGCGCGATCGTACACCCCCCGCCCCAGAAACCTTGCAATGGGCTCCATAACCATGGGGTGCTAGGAGGGCCCTTCCTCTGGCAAATGGCCGGCAAAGGGGGGCTGATTCATGCCCCGACAGTCCCACCACTGATTTCCTGAAATGGACACTGGAACGCACACCAGGACAAGCATTTGGTGGCTGGGCGAGTTAATCAAGAAAAGTGAGATCTACACAGAAAAGTGAGTGTTTGTCCAAGCGAAGATACCAGAAAGCAACCTGAAAGCCTCCCTTTAATAGAACGAGGGGGGGAACTCCCCCTCGAAAGAAAAAGTGGACTCATAAACGTCACTATAAGGGGGGGCAGGTTGAAAAAGCAAGCGGACTAAAATAAAGAACTTTTGAGCACTTACCAAGTAATTTTAAAGGATCCTGAGACTTTGATAACATTTTCTAAAAAGTAAATAATTCTCAAACATGGCGCTGAAGAAGGAGAAGGACAAGCAATCAAAACTGAAATTCCCTGCCGCAAATATCAGCCCAGCAAGTTCTGGTCCTAGACAGGACACCACCAAAGACTTCCAAAGTATGCTGAATGAGGCTTTGCACCCTCTGCTGGAGCAAATTACATTGGTCCATGCAAAATTTGATGCACAACAAAGCCAACTAAATGAAACTACTAAAAAGACAGAAAAAATGGAGCAAGAGCTTAAAGAAGTGGATGCCAATACACAAAAGCTGCAGAAACAAATGCAGGGGATGGGGAAAAAGCAAGCACCTGAGGAGGCGCAACTTCTACAGCTGCAAATTGAAAAAGCAAACTATGTCCTAAGATTTCAGCAGGTACCTGAAGTAAGAGGGAAAGATCTAAAACAGACTACGTGTGATTTATTGGGTCTGGTTGCAGATTTAAAAGTGGATTTTTTACAAAACAAAATAGATATGATATATAGATCGTATGCTGACTTCATAAGAAAGAATAATCTGCCCGGCGAGATTGTGGTGAGACTCTCCAGGAGACAAGTGAGAGACCAAGTTTTGAAAGCAACAAATGGAGCCAACCTGAAGACCAAAGACAAAGAAATAAACGTTTTGAAGGATGTTCCATTCGAAATAAGGAAGAACAGAAAGAAATACAGAGACTTGGTGCTGTTTTTACAGAAAAAATATTCCCTACAGATGGGCTTTTCCCGAATGCATGCTCTTCAATTTTAAAGACAAGAAAGAAAGAATTGACTCCATTGCAAAGGCACACGCATTTTTACATCAACATGCCGGTCCAGCAGGGGGGAAGGATAAAGATGAAGATGGCAGCAACAAGGGAAGTGAAGAAGAAGGAGCACTGGCACCTTCCGATGAGGACTCAGTTTCTGAACTGGGGGCGGCTGCCCCTAAATTAAGCTACTGTTTGAGAAACAAAAAGGAGAAAAAATGAGTTATGATCATTCTCTAGATCTTATTTTAAATGAATTTTAAGCATTTCTCTTTAGAGCTCTTTATGTAGTCACTTTTGCTGGAGATGCTAGTATAAGCAATAAGAACTATGTACTCACTTAATGTAGCAAGTATAAGCCAATTTATTAGAAGCCAACTTTGTAAGCATTGTGAATGACCACCATCTCTTGGGTTTTTAGAGGTTTTCTTT